CAAAATCCTGCACCCTTTCATACTATAAGCCCTCAACAAACTAGGCATAGAAGGACCATATCTTGAAATTATAAAAGCCATATACAACAAACTCACAGTCAATATCATAGTGAATGAGGAAGAGATGAAAGCATTCCCATTAAAAACTGGAGCAAGACAAGGATACCCACTGTCACCACTTCTATTTAACATGGTGCTGGATTTTTATTCTTTTAACTAGCATCCTTCACTTTTTGAAGCATACTTTTAAATTGTGAAAATACTTTTGTGAGAGTACATTTTATTGCATTGTGTCCTCAAACTGATGAGCTCAAGCTCAAGAAAGTATCATCCCCATATGATTAACGAGGAGCAGCTGAGGCCCAGAAAGGTTATGCAACTTGCCTAAGGACACACAGCTTGTGAGAGGCAGAGCCTGGGCCCAAATTTCCAGTTCCACAATCTCCCCTATCCTCCCTCTTTTCTGTTCTTTCCAGGAATATATTTCAGTTTTAGGTTTCCCAGCAGTTTTTTCTAAACAACATCAACAAAAAAGCAATTTTATCAATTCATTAACAGAAACAATGGATTGATAAGGAACTTTTATCTTCTTTAGATCCTCTAGCCTGATGTCAAATGTCATATTTATTTTGTGGCTACAAGAAACCATAAGGTAGAAATGAGCAAAATTATTCCCACAGAAGGAGTCTGCAAAGCATGCCTGGGCGTGACTGTTGAAAAAGAGGACAGGAACAGCATATAATGCTTAATGAAACGTATAAAGAACAGAAATGGGCTTTTATCCGAAACAGTCTTCGTTTTGCTGCCAAATAAAATAAAACAACTATGAGACAGGCACAAACCACTGTTGGATGTGTTTCCCAAAAGACCTGGACATCATGCAAAACCAGGAGTTTATATGTTGCCCTTTTTTAAAAAAATACAGGAATATGTACCAAAAAAATACAGCAATATGTACCTTCTATGTAGACATGACTTTTAGTTTTCTTTCCCACTGTGCAGATAGATTTGCAAGGGACCATTATCAATTCATCCCCCAATGCTCCTGGAGAGCAGGGCAGGCAATAGGCCCATTTTCCATGGCTGCACCCCCACCATAACCTGAAGTGAGGGAGCCCAGGTTATCATGTTTGCACACTTGAGAGCCCCAGACCTCCCTCTACGCGCCATAGCTTTAGCTGATTAACATCATCTGGCCCCAAGTGGAGCCATAAGCTGGTTAAGCCAACAAGATCCCTTCTTTTAGGAATTCTAACTCACAGAAAAGAGGGTTCCAGTTGGTATAAATACTTGAGTGGGAAGAAAATGGAGATTAGATCTAAATTAGCTATATTGGGCTATTGCCAAAATGAGCATTCAGAGAAAAAAGGTAAGGCGAGAAAAAAGAGAAAAATAGAGTAGATGCACAAAGGGAGTGTTAGTCTGTTTAGGCTGCTATAACAAAATACCTTAGACTGGCTAATTTATAAATAATAGAAATGTATTACACAGAGCTTTAGTGGCTGGGAAGTCCAAGATCAAGTTGCCAGGAGATTCGGCATCTGGTGGAGGCAATCTGCTTTATAGATGGTGTCTTCTTACTGTGATCTCACGTGGCAGGAGAGCAAGGCAGCTGCCTCAACCCTTAATCACCTCCTAACAGCCTCATCTCTTAATAATATCACATGGGCCATTAAGTTTCAACAGACAAATTTTGGGAGGACACATTCAGACCATAGCAAAGGGTTATGAAGGTATGTAAGGATATGAGAAAGACAAAGTAGGTCTTGAAAAAATAGAAGGAATGGTTTCTAAACTCCAGATTTCGGCTCTGGTCCATGAGGTCTGGCTGGACTCCTTGCACTAAGATGCCCCTGAGTCTTGGCAAAGAGTGGTCACTCTGTTTGTTGGATAAATTGTTGATAATATAACCTTCCTTCTTATTGGGCTACTTTGAGTGGATTTATTGTTCCTTATATTCAAAGCAGTTTTAATTGGTGTCATATAGCTTTCTCTAGCTGACATAATAGGTTGGTGGCTCGTTCCAATGGTCAGACAACAGTTCTTAATTGCAGTTCACAGGAATCTCTTTACTCCCCTAGGTTACATGCAATCTGTTATGTATATGTCAATATTCATTATTTTCTTTTTGGGAGGAGAGTGTTTGCTTTCAATAGTTTTCATATAGGTCTCCCTTCTTCTCCTAACCAAAGTGGAAAAGTCTATGCTTTAAAGGAAGCTTAAGATACTCTGCCCCAATTCATCGCTCACTCAACCTCAAGAAGGAAAAGTTTTGCAGTGCTCAAGGTAAGCTAGGTGAGTTTTCATGGGGTAAGTAAAAAAGATAAATGCTCTGTGTGGGAGTCCTGGGCCTTTTGGCCTGTCTTCTGTGTAGCTTCCCTCCTTTGGTGAGACAAGGTTAATGGCTGCTGAAAATGTTACCTGCTTGGGAGAAAGTGTCACCCTATTTGAGGAAAGGTGGCCCTTTTAGGTCTCCTCATCCCAGGCAAAATAAATCCTTACAGGTACACAGGTCTGAGCCTTGCTGGTCAGGGGCAAAAGCCTCAGGGGGTACTCAAGTCTTCCTTTGTCAAACCTCTTTATCTAACCCTTACTGGTGATAGCTTTTTAGCTGAGAAAATTTGGAGGTCAACATCCCATTTGATCTTTCTCTGCCTCTCAATAGAATAGCAATTTAAAAATTTATCATCCTGATGATTAGAGATATTGAGCATTTTTTCATGTTTTTTGGCCATTAGTCTATCTTCTTTTGAAACGTTTCTGTTCACTTTTTAATGCAGTAGTTTGACTTTTCTTGGTGATTTTCCTGAGTTCTATATAGATTCTAGTTATCAGCCCTTTATTGGATATATAGCATACAAATATTTTCTCCTATTCTCTAGGTTGTCTTTTGGCTCTAATGATAGTTTCCTTGGCTGTGCATATGCTTTTTAATTTGATCAAGTCCCATTTATTTATTTTTGAGATATTACTTAACTCCAATGAGAATGGCTTTTATCAAAAAGTCCCCAAATAACAAATGTTGGTATGGATGCAGAGAGATAGGAACACTCATACACTGCTGGTGGGACTGCAAACTAGTACAACCTCCGTGGAAAGTAATATGGAGATAGCTCAAAGAACTAAAACTAGAACTAACATTTGATTCAGCAATCCCACTGGGTATTTACCCAAAGGAAAAAAAGACATTCTATAAAAAGACATCTGCACTTGAATGTTTATAGCAGCACATTCACAATTGCAAAAGTGTGGAAACAACCCAAGCGCCCATGAATATATGAATGGATCAATAAAATATGGTGTATGTATATGATGGAGTACTACTCGGCCATAAAAAATGGTGAACTACCTCTTGTATTATCCTGGTTGGAGCTGGAGCACATTCTTCCAAGTATCAGAAGAATGGAAAAACAAACACCATATGTACTCCATTAAATTGGTACTAATTGATCAACACTTATGTACACACATGGAAGTAATATTCTCAGGGTATCAGGCAGGTGGGAGGGGGGAGTAGGGGATAGGTAAATTCACACCTAACAACCTTGGTGTGTGCTGTCTGGGGGATGGGCACGCTTGTAGCTCTTACTTGGGTGGTGCAAAAGTAATTCGTGAACCCAAAGCGTTTGTACCCCCATAATATTCCAAAATAAAAAAAAATAAAAAATATATGAAATGAATGAGAGGGTAAAAAAACTTAACATCTTTTGTGATCTCTCTCTCACACACACATACACACACACACACACACACACACAGAGTAGCAAAGTCTCAGAAAGTTACAGTTTTAATGAAAGGCTTCCAACACTTTGATTGGTATTAGTTGATAAAGATCTAGGCAATTTTATTTTCTATTTTAGCTTGAAGATTTGGGAAAGCAATTCCATGAATTAAGTCAGCCATTTTCATCTCTTTTTAACATTGACTTAACACAATAACACAAAACATTTATTGAGCACTTATTTTATGCTGGTAACTAATGTGTTATGTATTAATATATTATCTCATTTAATCCTGCAACCATTCCCATGAGATAGGACATATTATGCCCATTTATAGATTAAGAAGCCAAGCCTTGGTAAGAGGATAAAGAAAATATCCAAGGTCACCTGATAGGTATCTTTCTGGAAACTGCTATTAATAAATTGCCATTGATTTGCTTCATGCTACAATAGGGAGTGTGTTGTGTATGAATGGAATGACATATGTGAGGATATCTGGATTTAAGTTTCATTTCCCCCACAGTTGGAAAAACCAATTCTCAGTTTCTACACTCACCAAATACAATATACTGATATCTGCCACCTACCACTTCAAGGATGAGATCTTTTCATGAGTGTATATGCTCACCCCCAAAAGACAAAAAATTACTCAGCTTAGTTTTCTGCAATTTAGATTCTTAGGGGTCAGCAATGACATACATTTTGAACATTATAGGGAAGAAAATCCAGATTTGGTACTCCCTATCAAGCCAGCAAATGGGAGAAATTAAAGTTTCAGTAATACTTTTTCCTCTTCTTAATTTCCTTCTCTTAAAATAGTAGAATTTTGGTTTAAAACTACTGGGGACCAATATAGGGTTGCTAATGTACTATTTTACTAAGTAACTATTTAATTAAAATTAATGAAGTTTAATTATTTAACATAAAAATAGGCAAGGCATAATTCAGACTTAAGGATAGTACTTTAAATGAAATGCACTTAGCTATATAAAATACTTACACCAGAGTCTTGATTTTTTTCATCTCACTAAGAAATGGTAAAACTTTGCTGTGAAATGAATTTTGTTACCCATTGCTATTGGAGGGTTTTGTTTTAGTTTATAATTAAAATGACAGAAAATTTGCTTTACTTTTTTTTTTAAAAATGTTATTGTATTGGATTAAGTTTTGTGCACAGTTTTCCTAACTTTTGAACTGTTGGGGTTCTGCTCTGAGGCTGCTTAGGGCAAAACCAAAACAAAACAAAACTGGGAACACTCAGTCATTGCCAGGCATTATAATCTAAGACATTTATTCAGCTCAATGTCAAGGACATCAAAATGGACAATTTTAGCCCTTTATCTATGCCCGGTTCGTACAACCCTTGGTTATCTAGCATAAAATGTTAATTTCAATCTTCAATAAACAACTAGACTCAGAGAAATTAACCCCTGCAATTAATGTCTATCCCAACTAACTATATTCCTCTGCAGATAGCTGGAGAAGAATTTCAGCTATCTAAGACTCATGAGGTCCCAGCTCCAGCTGGGACTCCAAATCATGTTTCCAGAACACAAAGAACACTTGATAAATTTGGAGAGAAATATTTTTTGAAAACATGTCACCAGGAAGCTTGGGAATAATTTAACAGAACCATCCTACAGGGTATGAATTTAACCTTTGATCTCTAAAATGAAGGTCGGCAAATTTGTTTTTACTCTACATATCTTATAATCAATTCAATGTCTGGGTAAATCAGTTTCTAAAGAAGAGGCTGTGTTTGCAGATAAGTGATACTTTCACCCCCTAATTTTTAAAACTATTTAACCCTCTCTTCTCTGACTTAAATTCTACTGCTCCCCTTAACTGTTTTATGTGGGGGAAGAGGAATCTAAAAACTTAACATGCATAATATTAGAAGGGGGAAATACCATACTATTGCCTGCAGAAGGAATAAATAAAAAGTCCAACAAAATGTATTAGTTATATATATTTTTTTCATCTAAGAGATGAACACATGGAAAGATACTGGTTTTTTGTTTGTTTGTTTGTTTGTTTTTTAAATCTGTCTTTTCACCTGAAACCTTCTTGCTAATCCATACTTTAAATCAGGGTTCGCAAGGTGTAGTCCATAGGTAAAACCCAACCCACCGCCTGTTTTTATAAATAAAGTTTTATTGGAACACAACCATACTCATTCATTTAGGTACAATCTCTGGCTGCTTCTATGCTACAACAGTAGAGTTGAGTAGTTGCAACAGAGAGTGTATGGCCCACAAAGCCTAAAATATTTACTATTCAGCTTTTTATAGAAAATATTTGCTTACCACTACTTTAAATCAAAGAAAGAGGCTCCGAGAGGCAAAAATACATCCTTACCCCTAAGATACAGCTTAGGGGTAAAGAAGGGTGGACACTGATTTTAATCCCAATATTCACTTCGTAGAAACAGAGTCTTAGAATAATATCAAGCTGAAGAATTGAGTTGGGGATGCGTCGTAATGAGATGATGACATAATAACGAAATTTACTCCTCTGTTTCTCCAGAAGCCTATCTAATAACTAGACACTATGCGAGAGATGAAGCCAGAAGGCTCAGCTAATGTCAGCCATTTGGGAATAAGAGTTTCTTCTCTGCAGCAGATGTGTGGCTCAAAGTTCATCATGAGTGCACTTGCAGAGAGAGCACAGCATGTGTTGTTTTGTGAGGGGACCAGCACTGGCCTGTCAATGGAATAGCTAATTTAGTTAAAGGACTGGGGAAACAGTGGGGGTGGGGGCATAGAACTCAGAAAAAGAATCATTTTAACCCTTTCTGGGTATGACTTTACTTTTTAAATGACGATATTCTGTTTAATAAATGCCTATAGAATGTAAACCAAAATAATGAAATGCAGTCTGCATAAGCTGTTTAGGAGGCCGATAGGCAAAGGCGATCACTGCATGCATGGTTATTTCAGTCATATGCGCTCATCATCCCTTGAGAATTGCTCCCCTCCAAGGATTTCAAATTCCAGCCTCTGCTTGCTCGTCCGAAGTCAAGTGCATGGGCTGATGAGGGTGGCCTCCCTCAACTTCCCTCTCCACCTAAAACTGCCGGATATTCCTCCTGGGTCTGGACTTATCCTTTTCTCTTGGAAGAAGAAGGGCAAGGACTCAACTCTTGGCTTGTGTATTGCCGTATTTTTTGCTTTGTTTAGATGATTGCTTTGTCAGCTTCAGGTTCTTCCTCTCTGCTGGCTCTTGCCATTTTCCTAAGAAGCATGCTTCGTTCTTGCTCACCATGGAAATAGGAATAATCAAAAACAAAACCAAAAACTCTCCTTTCCTCAACTTTGCTGTTCTCTTTTGCCACTTTTCCAGCTTTCTTCAAATAGGTTATTCAGTGAGGACAACCCCCCCTCCCCCAATGGCTTAGAAGTGAGTTGATTTCTTGTCTATGCAGTGGCCACAGAAGATCAGGTGACGCTCCTCAAGAGTAGTTATGCTTTACTCAGTGACTCAGCCGTCAGGGGTCTTCAGTCTTTTGGTTTTGTCATCTACCCACAGGGCCTTCTCTGTGACCACTGTGGCAGGGAGAGAGAGACTGGAGAATCAGCTTGGGCTTTTCACTGCCTCGGTTCTAGCAAGGACCCACTTCACATTTTACTAAAGAACTGCCACGTGCTCCTCCTCAAGTGCAAGGGTGCTGAGAAGTACCATCTTCCATGTGCCTGGAAGGGGAGTGGAACCAGATGTTGGTGAATACAGTGATGCTTTCCATAACTACCCAACTGCTGTAAGGAAGTGTGTTACTATGTCATCAGTGTCTACTTTCTGTCCCCCAGCCCATATCTTCTAAAATCTGACTTTTGTCACCATCATTCCACTGAAACTACCTTTGTTTTTGCTTTATTTTTTTCTTACAATGACCGTAGTCATTGTCTATCTAGCCATATTGTCTTTATTACTTCCTCCTTGGTTTCTTTATGGAATTTGACCCAAACTGAATCACTCTTCTTCCTGAATTCCCTTCTTGGCTTGCATGACATCATTTGCAGTATTTCGTAGCTTTCCCTCATCCTTCTGTACCCATGCTTTCTCAGTGTCCTTCTCTAATTTCTCTTTCTCTTGCTCCTGCTCAGTGTCAGGAGATCAGAGAGCTCAGATTTATTTATTTATTTGCATTCTGTATGTGCTCTCTCTTGGGCTTCAGCCTTCAGTGCCCAGCGTGTAACTCCTCAATCAATCAACCAATCCACCCATCCATCCCTTTCTTCAGATCTAGAATTACACTTCTTACTTTCACTTAGATTTACACTTGCCCTTTTAAATTGACATAAACCCATAGCCCCTGAAAAACCAGACCTTCTTCTGATCTAACAATTTCTGTTAATGGAACTGTATCCGTTCCAATGCCCTGGATACAAGTGACAGAACGGCTCAACTCAAGTGCCTAAAATATAAAGAAATGCATTATCTCAAGTAAGGAGAAAGTAAGGTGCTCGTCTTGGGGCTGCCTTGCTGTGTATGTCAGATCTGGCTTCTGGTGGCTCCTCTCATATGAGGTAGTTAGACTTCTCGAATTGCTCTAGGGATCAGAGTCAGCTACAACAGCCTTAAGAAGAAAAGGAGACAACTCTTTTGTGTTTCTGTTGAAGAGTGATGAAACCCTTTCCAGAAGTTTTCCTAGCAGTCTTCCTTTTGGTTCTTCAAAAAAAATTAATAACAGCTTCACTGAGATGAAATTCACATGCCATATAATTCACTTACTTAAAATGTATAATGCAATGCTTTTTATACGTGTACAAAATTGTGCGGCCATCACCACAATCAATTTTAGAATATTGTCATTGTCCCCAAAGAAACCCTTTATCCATTGACAAATCACTCCCTGCTCCCCTCCCTCTGCAGCTCCTGGCAACCATTAATGTACTTTCAGTCTGTATGGATTTACCCATTCTGAAGCGTTTGTTTAAAGAGACTCATACAACATGTGGCTTTTTATGTCTGGCCTCTTTAGCTTACCATAGTGTTCTGAGGCTCATCCACATTATACCATGAATCGGCACTTCATTCTTTTTATTGTTGAGTAATGATACTTCACTGTATGGACATACCACATTTTATCCATCCATTTCTCAGTGGATGGACATCTGGGTTGCTTCCACCCCTTCTCTTCTTTTTGCCAATAATCTTTCCATCTGCTTATGCCTAATCCATCACTGGGAAGCCACCTGGATGGCTTGGACCAATCAAGACCCCTCCCTGGGGCTGAGCAGGAGAGAATCTTCTCTGAAGCAGTGGCCACTTAGAGGAGGATGAATATTTGAACAAAACTGTACTCTTGTCAGGATTGAGGATGGGAGGGGTGGCAGGAAATGTGGGTAGATGGAAAACAGGGTCTACTACAGGTAACGATATTTTTTTAGTCTTGAAACTTTGGCTCTTTCTTTCTCCCAACCAGTGATATCCATTTGGTAGCCAAGTTTGCACATTGGATCTCCACAGTTTCCTCTCTCTCTCCGTCTCTCTCCTTTTCCTCATCTTCCTGTGTTGCCCCCTCTGCTGCATGTTCATAGTACTTCTGTTCTGTTCTTTCCTAACAGCCCCTTGCTTCCACCAGTCCTTCTGTCGTGCCCTTCCCCTTGCAATCCATCTTACACACCTTGGTGAGAGCGATCTTTCCCACTGCGTGTGCGTACCAGCAATCATGTTACAGCCCCTGTTCAACGCCACTGCCTACGAAGCTAAGTACAAATTCATCACCCACACACGGTCAGCCTCAGCATAACTGTAGTTATTTATCCTTCTCAGCTATAAATTCCTTTCTCTATTTATATAAATCCTACTCATTCTTTGAGACATCTCCGATAATAGTAGCTTAAAATTTACTGAACTGTTGTTAACGTGTCAGTGCTGTTCTAACACTTGTTGGGATTTTTGCATTGATTCCTCACAAGAAGCACATGACAGCCATGCAATTATTAGTATTTCCTTAAAGATGAGGGAATCAAGGATAAGTATGTCGCCGATGATGACACAGCTCGTAGAGGGTACAGCCAGGATTTGCATCCAGGCAGTTTAATTCCTATGTGCAAACATCACCTTCCTGAGCCCTTCCCAGGACCTACCCACCCCCCACCCCAACTCCATCCCTTCCCCTGATCTCTGGCCCCACCAGAGATTCCTTGCAATCTCTCCCTCGTTTGCAATCTCTCCTTGCAATCTCTCCCTCATTTGGAATCATACAGTGTTTTATCTGTAATATTCTTATGCCACTTCTCATATGTTCCTCCAGGCCCTGTTAGAAGAGAGAAAAGGGCATTAATATTGATGACACACTACCGATCTTATCATGCTCTATGTTCTTATTTTTACCTTTCTCTCTTGTCCCTACTGGGTCACACAGTGGAGGGTAGGCGAGCGTCTTCCTCACTTTGTATCCCCGGAGGCCCCCATTGCAGTGGGTGGCAGCGATGGGGAGTGATGGATGGTTTCTGAGGGCCTGGCTGGGATAAGAAATGAGGAGGTAAGAGACATAAAGAATGCTGGGCTTTGGAGACACACAGACCCGAGTGTGAATTCGCTCCTCAGTGGACCCAGTTGTATGACCTGGGGCAAGTTACTTAATCCCTCCATTATGGGCTGAATTGTGCCCTCCCCCCAATTCATATGTGAAGTCCTAATCCCCAGTACTTTGGAATGTGACTGTATTTGGAGAAAAGGCCTTAAAGAGGTAATTAAGTTTAAATGACGGCATTGGCGTGGGCCCCCTAATACGATGTGACTGGGTTCCTTATAAGAAGAGGAGATTAGGACACAGGCATGTGTGTGCACAGAGGAAAGACCACACGAGGACACAGTGAGAAGGTGGCCATCTACAAGCCAAGGAGAGAGAGCCTGGAAGAAACAACCCTGCTGACATCTTGATCTTGCACTTCTGTCCTCCAGAACTGTGAGAAAATACATTTCTGTTGTGTATGGCACCCAGTCTGTGGTGTTTTGTTAAGGCAGCCCTTGGAAACTAATACCCCTTCTGAGCCTCAGTCACCTCATCTGTAAGGTGGGTTTGCTGGAGGACTTAGTGGAATAAAATTCTCAACACAGGGCCAGGTACTTCCTTGTGCAGCAACCAGCCAATAGCAATTTTCCCCTTCCTGTTATCCCAAGGTGATATCTTTGGGAACAGGAGTGTCAGGACCGTCAGGGGCTTAACCTGAAGGCCCTGGCCAGCAGTAAATAAGCAAGTTCAGAGGAGCCCAAAGAGTGGCAGTAGCTACAAAGAGGCAGAGTTCAAGATCAAGCACTGGGCAGACGGAAGTGGACGGGGTAGCCAGGGAGACATGCCGTATCTCTGCCTGCAAGTAACAGCAAACCTGCTTAAAACAGAATTAAACAAAAAATTGGATGTCTTTGGGCCTGCCCCTGAATAGTTAAGGGGTGGATACAGGAGCTTGAAAGTTGTCACAGGAGTTTCCCTGTCTCTCTGAAGGCTGGGTTCCTTCTATTCTAATTCCGTTCTTGAACAGACTCCGTGTTTGCGGTTGCAAGATGTCTGCAGAGGCTCTCAGACAGTCACTTCCTTTCAGCTTCAAAGCGTAGGAGGGCAAAGTTCATACTTCTTTTAGTCACCCAGGCAAGACCTGGGACCGGTTCCTCTGGAGTCAGGTGCCCTCTCTCCTCACCTGTCTCTTTGCTTTTGGGGGTTGGGGGACACAGTGATCTGCCAGGCTTAGGCCTGGGTCACGTGGGCCTCGCTTTAACCTGAACCACCCAGCAAAGGAGGCCGGAGCTAAGGGACCAACACAATCAGCAGAAGAATGGTGACTGGGTAGCTGCTCCTAACAGGTGGCCGGCACACCCATGCAGACAAAGAGGCTATTTTAAACAATAAAGCCAAGGAGTTCTCTCTTTCCGCATCTCTCCCCCTTTCTCCCTCCCCCTCCTCCACACTTACTTTCACTTCTTAAAGTAGACTTCTGACTCCCAACGCACTTTTGTGATGACCTAATTCAAGTCCATTTGGTGATCTGATCATTGGCTTTGGAGGTGGTTAGCTCAGAAGACCACTGCGAAACGGGCAGAGTCCTTAGGGAGCACGACAGGGCCCTCTTTTAACTAAGTTATCCCTTCCTGGGGCACAAACGCTTAGCAGACTTCTAGAATCTCTGTGCCTGCGTTTCCAAGCCTCAGGCTGAAGTAGACTCTATTCCAGGCGTCCGCTGGGACGTGCAACCCACCAAAGAGACAGAATACTACTACTAACAGTTAATATGAAAGGGGTACCTACTACACATCGGGCACCGCCATGAGTACTGCGCATGCTCCGATCTCATGTTACTCTCACCTCAATCCTGTGAACAGCCTCATTTCACTGATGCAGAAACTGAGGCCCAGAGAGGTTAAGCAACTTGCCCCACGTCTCACAGCAGGAAGTGGCAGAGCCAGATTTCCAAACCACCAGGTCTGCCTGGACTCTTTATCCCTCAGGCCCACCACGCCGCCTCCACAGTTGGCAGGCTGGTTTGGACTGCAGTCTGCAAGCAATTAGCATAAGCAGCTCTCCAGCAAATCCAAGAAACAATCCAATCTGCAAAAGGGGAGGGGAGAAGCCATCTTAAAAGAGAAAGCTTTTTTTTTTTTTTTTTCCTCCCCAGCTGGTTGACGGGGGAGCAGTTTGCCACAGGCTGCTGAGGGCAAGGAAGGGGCAGAATGTTCACTGAATGTTCATTCTCCCAATTGTTTTTCTATGACATTGAGCTCACACTCCAGGGAAAATGCAGGACCCGAGTTGAAATGTCGTCCAAAGCCATTCAGCCAGGGCTTTAAAAGAAGCTTTTGTTGGTGGAAATCTCTTTACTGTCCTGACTTTCCCTGGGCTTAGGGCTCCTGGACACAGTAAAGGATGACCAGTTAAATTTGAATTTTAGATCAACAACAAATAATGTCGTAGTACAAGTGTGTCCCGTGCAATATTTGAGACATACTTAACACTAGGGCATTATTTATTGTTGATCTGAATTTCACATTCAACTGGGGCATCTTATGTGTGGATTTGCTAAATCTGGCAACCTTGCCTGGACTTCAAAGAGAAGCCTATTTCCTTCTGTCTTGCTGCCCAGACAGAATCCAACAGGTTACTTCATTTTCGTGAAGGACTCAAAATCTAAGGCACATTCTGGAAGCTGCCTGCTCTTGCTTGCTCTGTCTTGTTCCTTTAAGAAAAACTTTTAAAAAATGGTGTGGGCTTCGTAAATAATAACAATCATAATAATAATCCTTTCAGGATCTGGGAAATGTCTTGAGGGCTTGGGGGGAATCAACTTTCCACTGAAGTTCCTGGAAACCGGTCAGTACGAGTTGTATGTCATAAAGAGCAGCGAGCAATGCTGCTACCTCGTCTTGTGAGCATCCCACAGAGGAAGTGGGCGATGGCCCCCACCTCTCTCCCTGGGGATCAGGCTTGCATTCCAAGCTCTGCAGGACCAAGTGACAATGTGGGATCAAGTGCAGGGGAGGGAGAAGGGAGGGTCAAGAAGGAAAAGAGAGCAGGAGAGGGAGGAGGCTTCAGTGCACATGCAACATCATCCCCCCCCCCCCTGCAACACTCCCTCCCTGCTTCCCTCTCATTTATAAATCTGAGAGCACATTCTTGGCACTGAGGCTCTTGTACTTGGACCCTTCTCTTCTCTTGGATCCTGGCACAGTGAGTCTGGCCATTTGCTGCAGTGATGGGCCGTTCCAGGGGGTGCCCCGTGTCACCAGCAGCAGGCCAGCTGTCAGAGGAGCCTCTTCAAAAGGGAAGACACCCTGGGAGGGCAAGCATTTGCCAAGTAACTAAGTGTCCCCATGTTTCCAGGTGCTTAGTATATGTTTGTGGGTGTGCACAGCAGTGAATACAAGGGCCTATTGTGTCCCGCGCTCTGAAGCTGGCTGAAGGCCTGGTAGCCGGGCTGGGTCATGATTCACTGCAACTCAACACATTTTTATTGGGCTTCTACGTTCAACACCCTGTGCTAGGTCTGTAGGAAACGTAAAGATAAGCATGGTCTCTACTTTCAAGGGACTTAAAATCTAATAGGGGAATAAGGCAAAGAGACAGTAAAAAAAGCAGGCAGAGCTGTGTAAGTATGGTCAAAAGCCAAAGTTTTTAAGATGCTCAAGACAGCCAGGAAACCAATTTTCTTAGAGGACAGATCAGGAAAGACTTTAATTCAGGGGTGACATGCAAGACGACCGTTGCAGAATGGGCGACATTTCGTTAGGTTGGGTGTGGAGGAGAGGACATATGTGACAATTGGTGTTACGTTGTGTTTCACATAGAAATAAATCCATCCCTAACATAGATCCAAAATGAATCCCACTAGCGATAAGCATGGACATACCCAGGGTGCTCTCCAAAGCGGACAAGCATGACCAATTTTATTATAATGTTTTTTGCCTCTTGGAGTATCCTAGGTGATATTGATGACTCACATGGACAGCTAAAACAAAACACCAAACCCACGGCCAGACATTATGCTGTGTGGATTGCCTATAATATCTTACCCAATATGATGAATGGCACCTTTCTGGATAATATTATCACCTCAACTGCAAGATTAAGAATGCAGTAGAGTCAATGTATACATCCCACCCCTTCCACTCCTACACCTAGATTCAGGAATTCTTCTATTGTTATTACAAAGCAATCGGTCTACCATTTTTTTCCCCTTCAAATTGTTTTCATTGATGTGCTATTTTTATCACTGTGCGGATTCAATAAAAATGACCAGTGTGAACTAATATATAACCGATTACTCTTCTTTCTCCTTATTCATATTGTAAAAGTATTGGAAAGGTGGAATCTTTTTATAGTGAATTTTACTATGGCACAGATTTTGAATTTGGGAGTTGTGTGCCATTTTGAGCTCTTGTTCTAACTGTGGGCTGCTACATATGTAAATATACTTGTATGAGAAATTATGTGAAAGACGTTTTTACTTTTCTCCGATCAATATCTGTCCACCCTCTTAGAAAATTTTGATCTGTAAGTAGAGTATTCATGTGATGACTGCTACTTGCTATTGAACACCTGTATTATTTAAGATATGGCAAGATTTCTGAAACATTCTGAGGAAACTGGTGTAACATTGAAAATGGCTGGATTTTGCTTTATTGCGTCATAAAGTTTCTGGAGAAGAAAAGGCCCTGGCTCCTTTAAGAAAGAGGTGGAGGCTTCAGCAGGCTGTAAAAGCTATTGGCACGCTTCTTGTCATAGAAACTACTTTCCGAGTCAAGGAAGTCTTGATAAAGGAGGAGGAGGTAGAGTTCTGAGCTGGCTGTATGGGGCCTAAGTAACTATTTCCTGATTTAGAAAAAAGGTCACAAGGAAACACAAGTTTATGGGCCTTGATGGTTTAGCTTTCTTTTAAGCTAATGCTCAATGGATGCAAAAGTTTTGTTTTTTTTTTTTCAACCTGCCGGGGAAAGGAAGGGCTACCCTTGAAAGTGGCCCTTTAGATATATATAACAAGGAGCGTGGCACCCAGGTAAATGGTTGCTCGGCACAGATGCTGGTCAGAGGCAGCAGTGCAAGTCAGAGCTCTACCAAGATACTGGACAAATGACTTAGTGTCTTCATGCCTCAGTTTCCCTGTACATGAAATGGGCATCCTGTGATTATGTCATAAGGCT